TAACCGAGGGGGGATGGGATCCTGGGTTGGATGAACCCATGGGCCGGTTCAAACCCGCCCCTGGGGTCCAATGGACCGGGCGGGGGGTAAAAAAAAACCGAGGGGGGGTGGTCCCAAGGGATGGATGAACCCATGGGCCGGTTCTAATCCGCCCTTGGGGTCAAATGAACCGGCTGGGGGGTAAAAGAAACCGAGGGGGGATGGGCTCTTGAATTGGATGAACCCATGGGCCGGTTCAAATCCGCCCTTGGGGTCGAATGAACCGGGTGGGGGGTCAAATAACCGAGGGGGGATGGGATCCTCCTGGGTTGGATGAACCCATGGGCCGGTTCAAATCCGCCCCTGGGGTCCAATGGACCGGCTGGGGGGTCAAATAACCGAGGGGGGATGGGATCTTGGGTTGGATGAGCCCATGGGCCGGTTCAAATCCGCCCTAGGGGTCCAATGGACCGGGTGGGGGGTAAAAAAACCGAGGGGGGATGGGCCCAAGGGTTGGATGAGCCCATGGGCCGGTTCAAATCCGCCCTTGGGGTCAAATGAACCGGCTGGGGGGGTCAGAATGGCCGAGCGGGGATGGGCTCTTGAATTGGATGAACCCATGGGCCGGTTCAAATCCGCCCTTGGGGTCGAATGAACCGGCTGGGGGGTCGAATTACAGAGGGGGAATGGGCTCTTGGGTCGGATGAAACCATGGGCCGGTTCAAATCCGCCCTTGGGGTCAAATGAACCGGCGGGGGGGTCAAATAACCGAGGGGGGATGGGATCCTGGGTTGGATGAACCCATGGGCCGGTTCAAACCCGCCCCTGGGGTCCAATGGACCGGGCGGGGGGTAAAAAAAAACCGAGGGGGGTGGTCCCAAGGGATGGATGAACCCATGGGCCGGTTCTAATCCGCCCTTGGGGTCAAATGAACCGGCTGGGGGGTAAAAGAAACCGAGGGGGGATGGGCTCTTGAATTGGATGAACCCATGGGCCGGTTCAAATCCGCCCTTGGGGTCGAATGAACCGGGTGGGGGGTCAAATAACCGAGGGGGGATGGGATCCTCCTGGGTTGGATGAACCCATGGGCCGGTTCAAATCCGCCCCTGGGGTCCAATGGACCGGCTGGGGGGTCAAATAACCGAGGGGGGATGGGATCTTGGGTTGGATGAGCCCATGGGCCGGTTCAGATCCGCCCTAGGGGTCCAATGGACCGGGTGGGGGGTAAAAAAACCGAGGGGGGATGGGCCCAAGGGTTGGATGAGCCCATGGGCCGGTTCAAATCCGCCCTTGGGGTCAAATGAACCGGCTGGGGGGGTCAGAATGGCCGAGCGGGGATGGGCTCTTGAATTGGATGAACCCATGGGCCGGTTCAAATCCGCCCTTGGGATCAAATGACCCGGCTGGGGGGTCCCAAGGGTCAATCTTGGCATCCCATGAACGCATAAACAGGTTGCCCCAAACGATGGCAACCCAACGTAATCCATGCCATAGGCCTATTAATACCCCAGCAAAGGGGTATTTTTCCTCTCCCCATCATTCGGCCATGTGTTTTCGGATTGCCCCAAACGACGGTAACCCAACATAATCCAGGTCATAGGCCTAGGAATACCCTAGGGAAGTGGTATTTTTCCTCTCCCCATCATTTGGCCATATGTTTTCGGATTGCCCCAAACGACGGTAACCCAACGTAATCCAGGCCATAGGCCTAGGAATACCCTAGGGAAGTGGTATTTTTCCTCTCCCCATCATTCGGCCATGTGTTTTCGGATTGCCCCAAACGACGGTAACCCAACGTAATCCAGGTCATAGGCCTAGGAATACCCTAGGGAAGTGGCATTTTTCCTCTCCCCATCATTCGGCCATATTTTTTCGGATTGCCCCAAACGACGGTAACCCAACGTAATCCAGGTCATAGGCCTAGGAATACCCTAGGGAAGTGGTATTTTTCCTCTCCCCATCATTCGGCCATGTGTTTTCGGATTGCCCCAAACGACGGTAACCCAACGTAATCCAGGTCATAGGCCTAGGAATACCCTAGGGAAGTGGTATTTTTCCTCTCCCCATCATTCGGCCATGTGTTTTCGGATTGCCCCAAACGACGGTAACCCAACGTAATCCAGGTCATAGGCCTAGGAATACTCTAGGGATGGGGCATTCTACCACTCCCCATCACTTGGGTTTCGGTTCTTGATTGCCCCAAACAATCGTAACCCAACGCAATGCAGGCCATTGGCATAGGAATACCCTGCCTAGGCTTTGACCTTGATGGTTCGATCGATCCGGACCCGAATGGGTTCGATACGAATGGGGCCGGTGAATCCGGATCCGGATGGGTTCGATCCAAATGGGTTCGATCGACTCGGATCCGGATCGATTCCATCCGAATCGGTTCGATCGAACCGGATCCGGATGGGTTCGATCGATCCGGATCCGGATGGGTTCGATAAGGATGGGTTCGATCGACTCGGATCCGGATGGGTTCGATACGAATGGGTTCGATCGACTCGGATCCGGATTGGTTCGATCGACTCGGATCCGGATCGATTCCATCCGAATGGGTTCGATCGAACCGGATCCGGATGGGTTCGATCGATCCGCACCCGGGTGGGTTCGATCCAAATGGGTTCGACCGACTCGGATCCGGATCGATTCCATCCGAATCGGTTCGATCGAACCGGATCCGGATGGGTTCGATCCGGATCCGGATGGGTTCGATAAGGATGGGTTCGATCCGAATGGGTTCGATCGACTCGGATCCGGATGGGTTCGATCCGAATGGGTTCGATCGACTCGGATCCGGATTGGTTCGATCGACTCGGATCCGGATCGATTCCATCCGAATGGGTTCGATCGAACCGGATCCGGATGGGTTCGATCGATCCGGATCCGGATGGGTTCGATCGACTCGGATCCGGATGGGTTCGATCGGCTCGGATCCGGATGGGTTCGATCGATCCGGATCCGGATGGGCTTGGGTCCGAAAGGGTTCATTTGATCCGGATCCGGACGGATTCGATCGATCCGGACCCGGGTGGGTTCGATCCGAATGGGTTCGATCGACTCGGATCCGGATGGGCTCGATAGGGATGGGTTCTATCCGAATGGGTTCGATCGACTCGGATCCGGATGGGTTCGATCGATCCGGATCCGGATGGGTTCAATTGATCCGGATCCGGATGGGTTTGATCCACACGGGTTCGATCGATCCGGATCCGGATCGGCTCGATAAGGATGGGTTCGATCGACTCGGATCCGAATGGGTTCGATCGATCCAGATCCGGATCCGGATGGGTTCCATCCGAATGGGTTCGATCAAACCCATCCGGGGTCCGATCCGGATGGATTCCATCACTTGGGTTCCGGGGACTTGATTGCCCCAAACGACGGTAACCCAACGTAATCCAGGTCATTGGCCTAGGAATACAGGAGGGAAGGGGTGCTCTACCTCTCCCCAACCCTTGGCACGGGCCATCGGATTGCCCCAAACGACGGTAACCCAACGTAATCCAGGTCATTGGCCTAAGAATACGGGGGGGAAGGGGTGCTCTACCTCTCCCCAACCCTTGGCACAAGCCATCCGATTGCCCCAAACGACGGTAACCCAACGTAATCCAGGTCATTGGCCTAAGAATACGGGGGGGGGGAGGGGTGCTCCACCTCTCCCCAACCCTTGGCACGGGCCATCGGATTGCCCCAAACGACGGTAACCCAACGTAATCCAGGTCATTGGCCTAAGAATACGGGGGGGGGAGGGGTGCTCCACCTCTCCCCAACCCTTGGCATGGGCCATCCGATTGCCCCAAACGACGGTAACCCAACGTAATCCAGGTCATTGGCCTAAGAATACGGGGGGGGGGAGGGGTGCTCCACCTCTCCCCAACCCTTGGCATGGGCCATCCGATTGCCCCAAACGATGGTAACCCAACGTAATCGGGGTCATTGGCCTAAGAATACAGGAGGGGAGGGGTGCTCCACCTCTCCCCAACCCTTGGCTCGGGGCATCCGGTTGCCCCAAACGACGGTAAGCCAACGTAATCCAGGTCATTGGCCTAAGAATACGGGGGGGGGAGGGGTGCTCCACCTCTCCCCAACCCTTGGCATGGGCCATCCGATTGCCCCAAACGATGGTAACCCAACGTAATCGGGGTCATTGGCCTAAGAATACAGGAGGGGAGGGGTGCTCCACCTCTCCCCAACCCTTGGCTCGGGGCATCCGGTTGCCCCAAACGACGGTAAGCCAACGTAATCCAGGTCATTGGCCTAAGAATGCCGGAGGGGAGGGGCTCCTTACCTCTCCCCAACCCCTGGCATGGTGGAACCGATTGCCCCAAACGACGGTAAGCCAACGTAATCGAGGTGGTTTTCCTAAGAATACTGCAGGGGAGGGGTGCTCTACCTCTCCCCGACCCCTGGCATGGGTCATACGGTTGCCTCAAATGACGGTAACCCAACGTAATCCGGGTCATTGGCCTAAGAACACCGGAGGGGAGGGGTGCTCTATCTTTCCCCAACCCTTGGCATGTGGGCATAGATTGCCCCAAACGACGGTAAGCCAACGTAATCCGGGTCACTGGCCTAAGAACAACGGAGGGGAGGAGTGCTCTACCTCTCCCCAACCCTTGCCACGGGGAAATCGATTGCCCCAAACGACGGTAAGCCAACGTAATCCAGGTCATTGGCCTAAGAATACTGGGCGGGAGGGGTGCTCCACCTCTCCCCAACCCCTGGCATCTGGGAATCGATTGCTCCAAACGACGGTAAGCCAGCGTAATCCGGGTGGTTGGCCTAAGAAAATCCGGGGGAAGGGGTGCTCCACCTCTCCCCGAACCTTTGCAAGGGTCACTCGGTTGCGCCAAACGACGGTAAGCCAACGTAATCCAGGTGGTTAGCCTAAGAAGGTTTGGGGGAAGTGGCTTTTCACCTCTTCTCACTAATCTTTGGGTAGGACGGTTGCTTGAAAAGTCGGTAAGCCAAGGTAATCCGAGGCCTTTCCGTAGTAATAATTCGGGGAGAGGAGAACTGGCCCTCAAACCACAAGCAAGGCGGATTACCTAGGTATGAAGTCGAGCTTGTCATGAGGTCCTATGAGGCACCGGCCCGGGCCACGGAGGGCGGCACTCTGTGATCCGGGGGGGAG